AACATTTTCCCATTATTAAAAAGGAAATTTGTCAGTTTTGATAATCCTGAATATATGACTACCTTTTCCTAGCTACCAATGTTTATTTATTAGTTGATTTTCCATAGTGTGAAATAGATGATAACAAGGAACAACATTTTTTCTTTATTTCAGGAATAAATATTTGGAATTATTTTTTCAATGGGTGAGAAACACTCTGGGGAGGGGTCAGAGATAAGGGGAAAAACTAGCTTGACTGATTGATCAATCTGATCAGTTGATCAGCAAATTAATCTTAAAATCAAACTAGTTAAAGTTTCCATCAAATACTTTGATTAGAATTTACTTCAATAAGTATATATTTATTGTGTTTCAAGGGAACCTGCTTCAGAAAAAGACTGAAATTAATGTTCCTACAAGGTAGAAATCTAGAGCAAAAAAAAAAGTATTATGAAAACTGCAAATAGAGAAGAATCTGTCCGAGAAACTGAACTGACAAGTTTGGAAAGTCGTATGTTATGTAGAGATGGCTTCTAATAACTCACTGCTTGTACAGAGTAAGCAGAATTTATTCTGGGTTTATAGATTGGGGATTTCAAGGCATAACTCACACGAAGATTAATGGAAATTTTGTGAAATTACTGAGTGGAGAAAGACCCCTCCCTCTAGTCTCCAAGACTGGGCTTCTGATGAGTCTCAGCAATAAGGAATTTAAACCAATGCTCCACTATGTAATCACTACCGTGGGAGCTGGCTGTCACACAGCAGGAACACAAACATGCAGGTGAATTGTGACCATCCCTCAGGCCATCCACCTGAGGCATCTTCTCCCTAGTTCCTAACCCATTGGAAGCAATTAACATCCACCTAGAAGAATCAATGGCAGAGGCATTCAGGTCCTGGTGATCTGATCCCCAGCCACATAGATGGTGAATAAATCTTTTGAAATAGAAACCTAAAACAATACTGAAGACCACATGATCAGAAGGAAGATATGCTTCCCGTATAATATACATATATGTATGTATATGATTTATTTGTATTTAGTTTCTCATATCTTATATCATATATGCAGATATATGTCTATGTGTATATGTATATAGGAATATATAAGAAATTAAGTACTAACAGTTCATAACGGAACTTAGAATGCAAGTAGTCACTATGTAAAATCAGAGACTTGGGGAGATAAGCAGAATCCTAAAAGAATTCAACTCCCTCAGAATTTTCCATATCTTGCCTCCTGCAGTAGCTCTGTTTCTGGCCCAAATTTGTGCTCCTCCAACTGTTTAGAAGGGCACACATCAGTCACTCAATCATTCTGCCAATCAAATAGCATTTATTAAGTCCATCCTATATGCCATGGGCCTTGCTAAGTGCTGGAGATACAAAGAAATGTAAAATATAGTCCCTGCTCTCAAAAAACTCAGAATCAAATGGTGGCACCAACATGCAAATACACACATGAAGAGAATGTCCTTTTTTCCATCCTGCATTTGCTTAATCCCTAAGGTATAGCAGTTCTTCCATGAACAGGATATGCCAACATACACAGATAAAATTCTTAGTGAATTTGTGCATAGCAAAAAGGTTGGGGAGGATTTTTATCTTAAAAAAAGAAAAGATTGGCATAGTTAGACTTACAGTTTAAAATGATCACTTTGAGAGTGAATGATGAATGTACTAGAGTAAAGAGAGACTTGAGGCAGGTTGACCAACCAGAGAAGGTTTAAATAGTCAAGGTATGATGCAATGAGGGCCTATACCAAGGTGCTGGAATTGTCTGATAATTCTTCACCCCTTTACTTCTTTCCCAGGCCATCACCCCTGTACTAGCCTCTCTTCTTTTCCTCATCTTGACCCCTTGGTGAACCAGTTTAACTCTATATGGTCCTCTCCTCTTAAGCCCCTAGAAGTGGTCAAGAAGAGGCTAGATGATCATCTCCCTGGATTTTACAACGATGATTCTAGAACTGGATAGAAGGTTTGGGCTAGATGACTTCTAAGGTCTCTCTAACTTGAAAAGTCTAGGATTCCAGCATCACAGAGATTTGTATTTGCCAGACCTGGGATTCCTTCAAAGTAGATAACTCCCAGTGAGGAAACTCCTTAATTCAAACAGGACACTTTTTATAACTCACATTCTTACTTAGTATGTTGCCTGAAGTACTGAAAGGTTATTGCCCTGGGTCATATAGTCATTAAGATGCAAAACTTGAGCCCAGAGGACAACGATGAAAAGTTGCAAAGAGACCAATGTAAAATCATCATCACGGGAAAAAAAGAATGAAAAAAAAATACTCCCAAACAATTAGAGCTGCCCATATATGGAATGGGTACCCATGGAAGGTTATTAGTTCCTCCTCCAGAGAGGTCTTCAAATAGAAGCTACTTCCTCACATATCTTGCTTAATAAAGATTCCTTTTTATTTATGAGTAGACTAGCTGGTTACCAAGATTGCCTCTAGCTCCCAAATTCTATAACTGTTGACTAAGGCCCGCTCTTTCTCCACCATACCAGAAGTGTCAAACTCTTGGTCCAATAGTTGCATGTAGCCAACAACACTCCTTCAAGCAGCTTGAACCATATTAAAATGTAATTGGGGGATGTTTAGCAAAATAAATAAAAATACAATAAAACGTAAAAATATTAATCAGTGGTTTTCAAGGACAACATATATTCTAACTGTGTTTGACACAACTTCACTATACCTTTCAGTCACTGAGGTACTCACACATAAGAAGAGGCAAATCCATGTAAAGAATGTCATCTGTGAAGGATTTACCCTTCAAATATACATACTAGGTATCCAAGAGCTACCATTAAGTGGAAGAAAGATGTCACATATCAAGATACTAACAAGGGTGGTAGACGGTAGATTTCACTGGGTGAGGAAGATGAGTGAAAGGAGTTGAGACTGTTCCTAATTGGGATCTGAAGGACTCAAAAAGCAAAATTCATGTCCTTTCCTAATAACAGAGATAGTGGGGAGGATGACATGTTAGAAAAGAGGATATGTAGATGGTAGGAGAGAGTACAAAATCTCATTTGGAGATATAACACCTACATTTACCTCTTCATTTGGTTTCCATGGTGGTTTCATTATTTTAGGGGAAAAAAGGTGAGAAAAATGTGTAGCAACAATTGTCACTTGCTCTTCCCATCAAAGGGCCAGAAGAAGAGCAAAAACATGATCAGACTTATTTCTACTCTAGCTAATATCACAGTTCATCCAGATCAGTTCCATACATGGGGACATAATTTTTATATGTTTCTCTTAATTAACATCAATGCCAACCTACGTGTCATTCATTCATTCTCATCCTCTTCATTGCCTCAATTAATTGGAGAGAGTACTTTTCTGCCACAGATAACACATTCTCAACAGACCAGAAAACAGGGAAGAACAAGGAGAAAAAAAAAGTTGGTTGAGTATTTAAATTTTAAAGATCAACTTAAAAAAAAATCCAAGAGTCAGTAAAAGATCTATTCAGTAATATTAGAATGATTACAAATGAGCTAATTCCACTTGAGGATTTCACAGGAAGTCTAAGTGTTGGCAGGTAGAAAGTTTCAATTTGGTGACTCAGAAAATTCATATTTATTGTGTTATATAGAGTGCACAGTGGAGAGTAGAAAAAGAATCCCTATGGATTAAAAAAACTTTCTGAAGTTTCTAAAGGAAGTTTTAATAATGAGGAACTTTTGAAAGTGAAGATAATGTTTAATCCTGAGTTGTAGAAAAACAACAGATGTGCAATGGTAGTTACAGATTTTCAAATGGGGACTTGCTGATTAGTTTTATTAAAAAAAAAACAACATGTAAAAATATAGGCTGCATCCAAGATGATAACTGAATTCTGTATCTTAAGCCACTCCACAGGTTTATGTCAGAGCTGAAAAAGGACCATGGAGGCCATATAACCTTCCCCCTCTAATTATATAAATGACAAAACTCAGGCCTTTGTAAGACTAAGCATTTAGGTATTGGTAGGGGCAGGTCGAAATCCTCAGCCTTCCATTTCCTTCTTGAATATTCTTTCCACTCCACGTGTGAAAAAGTTTAATATTGAACTATGTAGATTACTGCCCAAGAAAAAGTTGGATATGCCTAGCCAGCATACATACATAACAAGAGCCAAGAAAGCTATTACATGTTTAGGCTAGATGAAGAAGGGTGGCCATAGCACCAAGGAGGTAACAAGGAAGCCCGCTGCATTCTGCCTTGGTTGGGTCACAACCACACTGCTGTGTTCAGTTCCCTATGGCCAACTTCAGTAAAGACAATCAGGATTGTGAAAGGCCAGAAGGTCATGCCAATGGGAGTCTGTCAAAGGTGCTGGGGAGCTTAGTTTGGAAAAGAGAAGACTGGCAGGGTGGTGGAGAGATGGCAATTCTTCTTAATGCTAGGGCCTACCCCTCTGTTGGTTAGTTCTAATCTGCCTTATTTGCACATAGCTGTTTGCATGGTGTCTCCCTCTTCAGACTAGGAGCCCCTTGAGGAATGATATTTTTGCCTTTCTTTATATCCTCAGCCCTGAGCAAAGTGTCAAGCTCTTAGTAAGCATCAAATACATACTTCCTGACTTCACTTTCTTTTCATGATCCCAGAGGGTAGAATTGGAAACTATACATGGAAACTGCAGAGCTAAATTTGGCTTTATGTAAAGATACAAGGGCCTGTCAATTAGAAGCATTCCTTAATCACTTAACTTCTCTTGGCCTCAGTTTACCTATCTGTAAAGTGAGGGGCTTGGACTAATTATCATCTAAGGTCCCTTGTCAGTCCAAAGCTATGATCATTGATGTTCTATAGAAGCCAGCACAAGTAGATGATGTTTTATTTCTTTATGTACATTCATCCTATGACGATGGGATGGAACTGTGTACTAGATAAAGCTTTCATCTATAACAGAACACATAGCATAGGCTGCAGGTGTCTCTTCTTTTGATACTGGATGCATATTGTACAAGAACAATGAGAGAGGAAAATCAGCTGGCATCACAACAGGGGACTTACCGGTGTTGGTAAGGTAGCCAACGTTCTTGAGAACTCCTTCGGTGTAAGCCCCAGGCTCATAACTGTCCATTTCTCCCATAACGATGTGAGCAACTCGTGAAGCTCTTCCTTTGATCGCACCAGCCGCACGGTCTAAATTGTCAAGATCCTGGTCTCTTAGAGCAATGATACACTTGTTGACATCTTCCAGGATGTGGCTCT